TGTGAAAACACTTGGAAATGTCACATCAATGAGTTTTTAATTAATAAATGCACTATTGGAGAGTATCATGATGAATAAATTTCTTTTTTAATGGGTCATTTCTCTTTTTCTTTTTCTTCTTGTCAAACAAACTAAAGAAATGGAAATCAAAAGCACTGTTACTATGGAGGCTTTTTTGTTTTTTGTGTGACTTGGCAGTGAAAAGGGGAGGTTTCTTTGCGAAACAAATAAAATAAAAGAAAACTGGGAAACCTCTTGATATGTGTTGAAATCATTTCCAAAGAGGGTTTTTTATTTCTGTTTTTTTCTTGGAAATAGCCAAACATGCCTAAGTAAAAAAAACTCTGGAAATTTCATCACCTTTCTATTAGGGTATGTTTGGTTATTTCCTAAAAACCAAGAAATGGAAATGGAAAAGGTGAAAATCTCAAAAAGTACTATTTCCTCCATTTCCATCCCTAAAACTCACCCACAACATCCAATAAAATATTATTTTCATCCAACAACTCATCCACATCATCTAATAAAATATTATTTTCATCTAACCACTCATCTATCACATCTAATAAAATATTATTTTCATCTAACAACTCATCCATCACATCTAATAAAATATTATTTTCATCCAAACATCACTCAACTCATCTCTTTTCATCATTTCAAATCACTCACATCATCCAATAAAATATTATAACAATTCACCTCATCTCATTAACATTTCATTTCTTTGTTTTCATCCCAAAAAGTTATGAAAACACTTTTCTTAATCTTGGATCACATCACCCAATAATACAATGACAACTCATCTCATCTCATTTCATTTCTTATTTTTAAGAATGAACCAAACCAAAAGAAAACAACAAACTACAGGAAATAGGTTTCTTATAATTCATTTCCTTATTTTTTTCGCCAACCAAACAACATCAAAACTAGTTTTCTTAAAAAATCACTCACATCATCCAATAATAATATGACAACTAACACCATTTCATCTCTATTTTTTCGATTTCCTTCTTTTTTTAGCCAACCAAACACTCCCAAACTAATTCTTTATTTTAATAGTTTTCCATTTCTTTGATTTCCCTCTTTTTTTAATAAAACAAACAGGCCCTAATGGGCTGTTTGGTTGGTTTCCTAAAAAAAAAGGAAATTGAGTCATGGAAATAAAAAAAGTGCAATTTCCACCATTTCCATCCCTAAAACTAACCCACAACATCCAATAAAATATTATTTTTATCATATAACTCATACACATCATCTAATAAAATACTATTTTTATCTAACAACTCATCTCATATCATCCAATAAAATAAACCAAACAACTTTTATGGGTCACATCATCCAACTCATCTCATCTCCATCTCATCTCCATCTCATCTCATCTTTAAAAATAACTCACATCATCCAATAATATTGTAACAACTCATTTCATCTCATCTCCATTTCATCTCCACCCATTTCCTCCAAAAAAATAAGGATATTGATTTCCTTAAGTGTGGGTCACATCATCCAATAATATAATGACAGCTCATCTCATCTCATCTTATCTCCTATTTTTAAGATTGAACCAAACACAAGAATAGGACCTATTATAAGTCTCATCTCATCTTATCTCCTATTTTTAAGATTGAACCAAACACAAGAATAGGACCTATTATAAGAAATATGTTTCTTATTCTTTGATTTCCTTCTTTTTTAGCCAATCAAACAACCATCCAACAACTTTTCTTAAAAAATCACTCACATCATCCAATAATATTGTGACAACTCATCTCATCTCATCTCCTCCTACTATTTGATTTTCTTCTTTTTTTAGCCAACCAAACAACCATAAAACAATTATTTAAGGAAATAGATTTCCTATTCCTTGATTTCCTTTTTTTTTTTTTTCAAACAAACAGCCCCTACGCCACAATAACTTGTTGGATTTCAAAAGTGGATATGGACATGATGTGATAGCGTCAGATTTGATTTGTCGATCCAGAAAAACCCACCAAAAATGAACGATTCTGGTACTGTAGCTTTTATTTATTAGTAGGGCCAATGCGGACATAAATGATTGATCCACTTGACTACAAATTAACTATTAATTTATTCGGACGATTGGATGCACGGACTAGCGTGGAGGGCGGGAAGATGGTGCGAAGAAAGGAGGCACCGTAGAGAATGTAGACCACTAGGAGAAGAGATGGGTACAAGATAATTTGTATTTATTTATTATTAGAGTAGGAAATAGGAATTGAGGAAACTACATATAACAAACATGAAAGTCTTATGGTAGTTTTGGAATTTAAAGAAAAAATTACTAAAAAACTCAATCTCTCACTTTCTAATCGGTCCACTTTTTGGAGGGTTAGAAAAATGAGAAAATTTTACTTTTTCAACCCTCCCAACCATTTTCCTCACTAAAAACTGGGCTAAATACCCATATTGGTATTTTAATTCAACCTCATATGCCAAGAAGGTATTTTAAATAAAAAAATCGGCGTTAAGGCATTTTAATTGATTAAAATTACCAATTAGGTCCTTTTTCTCGTCGGCGACCACTTTTCCGGCGAGAACTCGTCACGTGCGTGACACGTGATGACTTAATCTGTATAAATACCCATATTGGTATTTTAATTCAACTCAATTTGCCAAGAAGGTATTTTAAATAAAAAATCGGTGTTAAGACATTTTAATTGATTAAAATTACCAATTAGGTCTTTTTGCTTGTCAGCGACCACTTTTCCGGCGAGAACTGGTCACGTGCATTTTAATTCAACCGGTTTTCTGACGTGGCAGTGGCAGGAAGAATAAGAGTCGATGCATTTTAAAATCCCCCAGTTCTAAAATTGGTAAAAAAATTAGCGAAAAATTCGTGGAGAAATTACCGTATAAATAGAACCTCTTTCTCTTGCATCGATCCATGGCCGCGCCGGCGGCAATCTAGTCTACAGTGATCTTCGTCTTCTCACTTTCTTCTCTCAAATTCCCATGGCGTTTTCTTCTAGAAGTTCCTAGAATCGGGGGTTTTGGCTGCTTCTGTTAGCGGTAAAGGTAAGATAATTGAGTTGGATCTGAGATCTGGAGTGAATGCGTGGAAGTTTGATCTTTGTTTTGAAATTTTTAGGGTTCAGGTTGGTTCGTTTTGGACTTAAATTGTGATTAAGCCACATCAGCAGCTAAAACCGAGCCACATCATCAGCTAAAACACAGATTAAGTCATCACATGCCACACACGTGACGAGTTCTCACCAGAAAAGTGGTCGCCGACGAGAAAAAAGAGCTAATTTGTAATTTTAATCAATTAAAATGCTTTAATGCTGATTTTTTATTTAAAATACCTTCTTGGCAAATGGGGTTGAATTAAAATACCAATATGGGTATTTATACAGATTAAGTCATCACGTGCCACGCACGTGACGAGTTCTCGCCGGAAAAGTGATCGCCGACGAGAAAAAAGGACCTAATTGGTAATTTTAATCAATTAAAATGTCTTAACGCCGATTTTTTTATTTAAAATACCTTCTTGGCAAATGGGGTTGAATTAAAATACCAATATGGGTATTTAGCCCTAAAAACTGTAAATAAACATAATTTTGAGATGATTAACATTGTAACTTTCCCCCTCTTAAAAAGCCTATCCAAGCCCTCTAGCGTTTTATAGACGTTGACCTACAGGCTACAAATCCTGAATGACGTGGCAATTATTAATTTATTATCATTGTTTTCAGTGCTCAATAAATTATGTATCTTCAATATTCGAAAAATGAAAGGAGCATGGATACTTAGGGCGCGTTTGGTTGTAAAAGCCGCTTGGTGAAAGCCTGACAAAAAGGTAAGTTTTTGTCAGCTTTCAGCCTAAAACGCCTCTCAAAGAGGCGTTTTTAGCTGAAAGCTGACAAAAAAAGCTCTTTTTGTCAGTAAAACAGGTCCTTTTGTCAGGCTTTCACCAAGCCTATTATACAACCAAACGGACCCTTATTTTAGTACTCAAAATAAGTAACTTGTCTCGTAAAACGTTATCCGTTGATACTTATTTCAATCAAATGTGTATATGATGTTTTTATTTTATTTTATTTCTTTATTTTCTTGCGACTAGCGTATACGAAGTTTATGGAACCGGATTTGCAAAGGAAATTTATAATGATCTAAAGTTCTCATGTAATTTCAGATTGCTGGTTCTCATTCTCGATCATATTGCTAGGTCTCATTTTTAAGATTCTAGATCTACTCAGGATATCCCCAAATTGCATGAGATTCTTTTACAATATGACTAATTTCATGTCAGATATATTACGCATGCATTGTCAAATTCATTATCTTTCTGATTCTCTTCGAATAATAAGCCTTATATTCGGATATTTTTTTTTCCAAATACTATTGAAAATATATATTATGAGCCGTGTTTTGAAGAAAAAGTATGAATTAACCTTCAATTTTAATGTATACTCAACCATGGATAGTTGAAAAGAGTTTTGGCAATGGGAGAAACTTGGTTAGGGGACTCCTATGCTTGAGAGAGAGCCCGAATTTGAGCCCTCACAGGTCACACCATCACGAAGACTCGAACCCTTTTAGCAAAAACCCTAGGAATTAGGCTCAACTCTGATCCATCCATATTTCTAAAAAAAGACAGCGAGTATTCGAACTTAGGACCATTGAGCAAGGAGCAAACCCAACCAACCATCTCGGCAGACCCAGGTGCATTTGCTACTAAAATTTTCACCGTAGATGGTGCATACATTCATGATAGTCGATAGATGATGTAATAACCATTTTGGAGGGTCAGACTTAGTGCAACACGTATGCTTGCATTCCCATTATCCTCTTTCAATGAAACAATTGTTGCCCCACTAATAAGTGAGGTTTCACGTGTACTGGTGACCCTTGAGCGTAGACATTGTTCCAGCAACCCTTGAGCAAAGACATTGTTTCAGCACCTCTGCAACAACTGTCAATGTTGATCGAGTCTCGACCTGCACTTTCTACGGTGGGAACTCTGCTTCAGACTATTATACTTGTAAGTTGTAACTAACATATTTCCATAAATTTCGTATCACAGTTCATGATGATAAACAGCATCGAATGTAAGCGACCAAGAGAGAGTTGTACATGAATCGTGGCTTCAACGCGTTGGAAGTTATTGGGCAACTTGATTGAAGGATAGCCTTAAACTATTACTCTGTAAACAGTTTGTGGTATGTTTATGACTATCAATCCCTTGATCATGTTAAAGCTTTGAATTTAACTTTTCTGTAGAGGTTGACTTGCTTCGCAACATCTTGTTAACTTCGTAGAGAGCGTCATGCACTTGCTCAAAATGAGGGTTTGTATAATTCTTCACATTTTCAATCCACTGTACGATCTTTTTATGAGGTTCCAATATTCTTTGCCGATGGTCATCATCCAGTACCTGAATACAAGGTATAAAACAGTTGAAGAAATACATCATTGTTGCATGCTAAATGGAAGAAAAACAAAAGATACTTTGGATCTAACCAGCAATGTTAATGGAACCGTTATCTTACCAAATCCTGGAGTCCTGCCTCTACTTGACAATATGCTCTATATCAATCATCGAAACTAATATTTTATCAAGTTCATTGGAATTATTGCAAATTGATCAACATAACTACCAAGTGCAAGTGGTATCTCTCATAATTGATGAGATTTTATATCCTCAGAAAAAGAGTTAGATTTTTATGAAATCATTATTGCAAATTGATCGACATAACTACCAAGTGCAAGTGGTGTCTCTCATAATTTATGAGATTTTATATCCTCACAAAAAGAGTTAGATTTTTTATGAAATCACAACAGAAACAAGGTCTAAAATGCTGAATTTCAGATTTTTTATGAAATCACAACAGAAACAAGGTCTAAAATGCTGAATTTCCAACTATTAATTTATTCTCATGAATAATATGATATTATGTACTGGTAGCTGGAAGCTGAAAGATAACCGAGTGATTAAGAAATTTCAAGTATCCAGATTCTAGACAGCTGGTGAAATGCAGAAATCAAGCACCAAGAGTCATTATACATGGGTGGTACACAAAAATTAACATCAACCTTGAATATAAATGCATTATGTAATCTCTACCAAGAAAAGGCAACTCTCAAAATTATAAAGCCAAATGCAAAACTTCAATGGAGGTTCCTCATGTATTGGCTAAACATGATCTAGGCTCTCTATATTAGGAATTCATTAGTGGAATTCCATAATGTTACCTTTATCGTCAACATAGGTCCTTTTTACAAACTTCTGATGTGTCAGTGATGTGGAGAACATCGATCAGCAAAAAGATTAGTGAAATTATAAGTTTATCTTGCCACAACACTGACACGTCATCAAAATTTAATGGAAGTAAAAATGCCCTAGGCCGATTACAGAAGTAACATTAGGGACCTCAACTGAGACTTCCAAACCTAAAGAATGTAGATAATATTTTTCCAATACATGAGGGATCTCCACTGATGCTTTGCCTATAAGGTATAATATTCATGTTTACCTTGCAATAGGCAGGCCTATTTATAGAGATATAGGGCAGCGAAATATGAGAATATGAGCATTATTTACATGGAAATATTGGAATAGCTTCCATGGCCCCCTAGTGAATAGAAGAGCTAACCCAATTCCAATCATGATTCTGCCTTTATTTACAAAGTTTGCAGAAGTGGCGCAATTTCGTTACAGATTGAATATATAGTTGTTTCATATACTGTTGTCCAACTCATGCCTCTAGCAGTAAGCGTATCAAAATGATATCTCATAGAGGAGTTCTTGTGTGCAACATATAAATGTTTACCTCCAATTGCATAATTTCACAAACGAGGCTGAGATCAGCAATGGATGGCTGAGAATTTCCGAGTAGGAACTTTGCATTTCCTTTAAGCCAAAGGGATTCGATTGTCGAGAGAGAAGACAGCAAAAGCATCTCACTCTCACTTGCTGCTTGTGGGTTCAATGGAAGACCAAGTGCAGGTGCCAGTGTACTATTCAGAACAAAGGTTGCTGCATGGGATAATTACAGTTTAGTAAAAAGTCAGCCCCTGACATCACATTTGTACAAGAAAAGCACAAATATGAAGCTATGCTGGCTGAGAGTCGTGTTATTTTGGTATAATCCGCATCACGACATTCGTCAAGTTATTTTACATATATGCCTCTTAAACGATTTCTTTGATACTAATTGCATGATGAGATGTCTTTACTACCATTCAACAACAACGAAGCCTTCTACCAAGTTTTTGGGGTATGCCTTTACTGTCATCCATATGTTAAAAAATATTTTTTGGAATGACATCAAAACAGTGACTTGTACTACAGTCAAGATAAGTTTAGAATATATTTCAACATGCATCAAATTATTTTACAGAAAGATGTGTGTCAAGGCCAATTCAGAAATGTTTCATGTGCAAACACGCACATCCCTACCCACCCAACCCCCAACACACACGCGCACATATACGCAAAGATGCACACAGAAGTACACTTGTACATATACATATACATAGTTTGCATCATTAGCTTCCAATTAGCAAAATGTTTCAGTACTTCCATTTTAGATAATAATCTTTTCGTGGTTTGCATCATCAACTTCCAAGTAGCAAAATGTTGAATTAAGTTCTCAAGTGATTTGACCAGAAATTGTAGCCTTTTTCAATGAGGGAGAACAAGTGTGTCAAATATATGCATAATTCACATAAACTCGGATAAATTAACAACCAAGATATCAGAATTGTTAAGTTCAAAGATTATCACCTGCACCGCGACGTAGGTTAGAGTGATGCCAGTCTAATACTGAATTAATTTTGGCTCTGCTGAACAGGTCAGCCGGATACCTTGCCAAAAAAAAAGGAAGAAGAAAAACTATGTGAGAAAACTCTAAGCATCTATACTAATCTATAAAGAAACTAGGGATGGTATGGAAAATTTTGGATGAAAGGACGACATCTCATTTCTACTATAGTTGAAAGGGCAAAAAGGTAATCTTATAAGGAAGATTTTTTCCTGTTCTCTCTTTCTTTTCCTTCAAGAACATTCCATACAATTTCGTTCTCTTTCTTTTCCTTCCAGAACATTGCATAGGATTCATGGACATGAAATAGGACCCATATAATTACATGTGCATTGTATTTTAAATTGTGAATGGGATAAAAATAAAGTTATAAGTTTTTAGAAATAACATTACATATCTATATATCTGTAATGGATACTGATATAAAATGAACATTGAGGGGCTTAGGAATCCATTAAAATATCATTCATTTTTTTCCTTAAATGTTACACTAACAAACATATACATTCAGATTTGAAAGTTGAGTTAGAAACATTGAGTCCGATTTTTATCAACTTATAAAATTTGGTGCACCCTTAATTAAAAGCTTTAAATCCCAAATTTTGTTCCTTCATTTCACGTGTATTTGCATGTGCAGAATTTCTAGTGTAACAGAAGGGGAAAAGAATTTTATGAAAAACTTAATTCTACAATGTAAATTATGGAGGAATAATTTCTTTTATTAACTTTTGCCAAAATGAGAACTTAAATTCCTCTTTAAACAGTAAATTTGGAGACAATTAATGTAATAAAAGGTGAACAAAATTTTCTGTAGTTCCCAGTCAGTAACCCTCGAAGATAGTAGCCAAAACTTAATGTAGCTGGTCGCGATTGTGAATACTACCTGACAATAAGAATAGCAACTTTAAATAAAGAATTTCTGAATTCTACAAAGAAAGAAAAGAAGATGCCCGAAAGTTCAGGTCCCTTCTTTATGAATATGATAAAAAAAACATTCCACATTGAGCAAAAGGTACAAAACAACTATAATAATAATGCAACAATAAAGATAACATACCAGTGATCTGATACTCCTGGAAAAGCACAAGCGAGATAGCTCAGAATGGCGTGACTGTCAACAAACAATTCAGCGAAGTATCAGAAACTAGGTTTGCTAATAAGCATGAAAGAATGAGGGTCCAAGAAATGTGTCGAAGCATTTGCAAATCCAGTCATATTATAAAATGTAGGATTAACAGATGAAACAATAGAAAAACCTGAACAATGTTATCCACTTCCTTTAAGTCAGGAAGGAAATGGTACCAAAAGGTTGGGAAGCAAAGAATGAAATTTGATATAGAATAGGGTATGAAATTGCTAGCAAAGTTAAAATACTCAATATAGTTTCAAATTGACGTGCAAATTAAGAAGTTCCAAAGTGTAAACAGACTTTTGCCTGTAAAAATTTGAAGTTCCAAAACACTAAAACAAAAGGAAAATGCAACAAGCTTCATTATCAATAAGCAAGGAAATTCATTATTAAAGGTTGTAGAATCTTTTACTTCAGTATGTTTTTATTTATTTTTTATTGTAGTTATAATAGGATATTGGTATTTTCTAATTAAACCATAAGGCAACTGTAGAGTTTTTTTTTAATCTAGCACACAATAAGAAAATCAAACTAAATATCCTAAATGCAAAAAACATAAAAGATTGTCAAGAATCAGAGGGTTGAAATTCATAAAAAAGCTAGAATAAAAAAAGGAAGAAGAACAAGAACAAGAATGATAACAATACCTCTCAAAGAGTTTAAATCTTCCATCAATAATTGCTGGAACCTGCTCCATTGGATTGATTTCTGAAAAAATGTATAATCTGAGTGTTACTATTTCTCATTGGCAGGATATCCCTCTTGAATAAGAATAACTCAAAGCTAATAGAATGTGCATAACAAAAACAATTCATAGATTAAATATAATTTCACTATAAAAATGCAATGAAATTTGACTCTAATGAAAGGTATTTCATCATAATTCTTTACAAAAAATCGCGGATCTAGCTATTCCCACTTCTAAAATAAACAAAGTCCTTTAAATCTTTCACTAGCTTCCCATCTCCTAGCAAGTACAAACCAATAAAAACACAATCTTTTCAGACTTCAAATTTTCCATTTAAATGCCTAAAATTTTCTTTCAATTTAAGCTCCGTCTTATTTTAATTGCTTTTTTTTTTGCTTATACTAGTACACCTCAAGGTCCAAAAGAAACATTTAGAAAAACCCTAAAAAGTGACGAAATTGGGGAAAAAAGGGGGATGGAGTTGAGAAGAGGAACCTTTGAACTCTGGCGATTTGTGCTGACCCTTGGCAAGGTCAATTTTCACCTCCTCGAAATCAATTTTGTTCATCCTTATTTTGGCCCAAAAAAGCAAAATTAAAATGATACGCTCCTCAAAAATCTAAAATTAAAGAGTAATTACTGAAGCAAATTACTTGCAGAAGATTAAGACGGCACGCGATGGCTGGGACCTTCGATCGACGTACAACTTCAAACCCATTTCGTTATAATTCACTGTAATAATTTCTCTCTATTTCAATTTGATCTAATTTTGATAGAGATGACCGCAAATTTTTGGCTGAGGGAAAGCTGGAAACTTTAACTGGACGAAATTGGTGCGGGACAAAGTTAACCGTCAATTGAATATATTTTACGTTAGCAGATAATGTTGTAAAAAAAATACCGAGCGTTGCCCGTGAAATCATCGACCAACTATACTAAAGTGATCTGGCCAAATATAATCTATTATCTATCTATAACTATTATTTACGCAAAGCCACATATTTGTATCTAATTTTAAGTGTGTCAAGATTTTAAAAAAAGTCATCATATGTCTGTAACAATTTATTTCTTGTATATTGAAACTAATTAGAAGGAGAAAAGTGAAAAAGTTTAAGAACAGCCTAACTACCATCCACTACTTATGATAAGTATCCTCACTCTCCGCATTTTCTAATAGTGAGGTACTTTATATCACTTAGATAATAGTTTTCTAAATATCTATTCATATAAGTATTGATTATTAAGGTGTTAAAAAATATCTTTTTACACATAAGTTTACTATGCAATGCACACATCATTACACTCTAGTTCTATGGCGTTCAGTTTTTCTATCCTCCGCATAACACTGTTGGTTTTTCAAAGATACAATATTTGGGTTAGGCCCGTTATGTTAGGTTTTTTTAGTGGCCCACGTTTGTTTTAACCAACCTTAATGGTTTCGGTTTTATTCCCACTAATTTTTTAACTGCACACATTTTATGAACCTTAATGGTCATGTTTTAGTTAAATAACTATTCACGTATGCTAAGTTCCTATTGGTCAAGATAACTACCCACATTGATGGATTGTGAGTGGTTATTTTCTATTTAAAATGCTTGGCCCTCTCTCTACCATTTTATGCGAAAATTTTCTCTCCATCAAGAAAATTTCGGAAAATATTAAGAGGGCAAAGAGAGAGAAATCGAAGTCTTCAACGTTGTCTCTTTGCAGTTTAAATTTTGTCAAACTTCGAATCATGGATCAAGGTACGTTCTCTTAATTAGATTGTTCATTGTGAAAATCATATGTTCTAAGATCTTGGTATAATGATAATTAAATCAAAATGAAGTTTGATTTACTTAAGAATTTAAGTTTACATGTGGTATCAGAGCCTTGATTAAAGAACTTATGATTTTCCATCAATAATTCTATTACTGTTAATTAAATGTTTAAAATTATCTAATTAAAAAAAATTCCGCTGATTATTGAATTCTATAAATGTTTTGATAATTTCGTATTAAATTGAATACCTGAACTGACTGTTCATTTAATATGTATACATATTTTGGTATACTAAATACTTTAGTGTAAATAGCATAGTGGTAAGGCTTAAGGATTTGGCCTAGAGGTTTGGTGTTCAAACCCCTAGGGCTACACCAAATATTAATAGTCTTTGATTTAAATCGTTTTTTATTAGCTGCCTAATTTAATTTTGCTGCTGCCTATGTCTATTTTGCCTGCATAATATTTCTGTTTATGTCAACGTACTAATTATGCATGGATTGTTAATCTTCATGAACTACTATTTGCGGGCTTACTATAACGTTATTATCTAGATTTCCCCTAGGGCTACACCAAATATTAATAGTCTTTGATTTAAATCGTTTTTTATTAGCTGCCTAATTTAATTTTGCTGCTGCCTATGTCTATTTTGCCTGCATAATATTTCTGTTTATGTCAATGCACTAATTATGCATGGATTGTTAATCTTCATGAACTACTATTTGCGGGCTTACTATAACATTATTATCTAGATTTCATTATACAATTTGAAATTTAATGAATGGTTTGTTAGTCACCAAAGTGGCCATACCTTGAAGTCTCATGCTTATCAAATTGTAATAATATAATTTCAATTACTCATGATTAAGTGATGCTACTAATGAAATGACATGATCATATATATACATACATTGTCATGAGTAAATTGAACTTTATCGATTATAAAATATTTAAGAATTTCCCAAAGGTTGATTGGTAAATTTTATAATCTATAAACATGACTGTGGTTATTTACTACATCTGATTAGATATGTTTAGAAGATAGTAAGCATGTCTAATTGGAGTATATAATTGCCAACTATATGAAATAAAAACTAAGCATTAATTATGTTCACTGTTGTACATTGATGGATCACCCAAAGGAGAACTTCGATGTACGTTTATTGTTTAAATTAAATGTTATCATAATATGTGTTATGTTTTTAAGTTTAAGCTTATGACTCAAAGCATTAATATGCCGATATTCTATATATTTGCAGCACCTATTTCTCTTCATTCGCAAGCCTCGTCTATTGTAAAGTTCAATGGGCTTAATTTTCATGAATGGAGTGAACAAATTCAGTTTCACCTAGGTGTTCTGGATCTTGATTTAGCACTCCTATATGACAAGCCCGCTGCTATCACTGATTCTAGCAATGATGATGAAAGGTTTTTTTCATAATGCTTGGGAAAAATCAAATAGACTTAGCTTAATGTTCATGCGGATAACGATAGCAAACAACATTAAGTCCACAATTCCTAAGAATGATAAAGCAAAGGAATTTATAAAATTTGTGGAAGATCTCTCGCAATCTGACTCTGTTGATAAGTCAATTGCAGGGACATTAATGAGTACGTTAACCACCATGAAGTTCTATGGTTCTCGTACCATGCATGAGCATGTCACTGAAATGACAAACACAACAACAAGATTGAGATCTATGAGAATGGAATTGAGTGAAAGTTTCCTCGTGCAGTTTATCATAAACTCCTTGCCTTCTGAGTATGGTCCATTCCAAATAAACTACAATACTATAAAAGATAAGTGGAATGTGACTGAATTGCAAAGTATGCTCATTCAAGAGGAAGCAAGGCTTAAGAAACAAGGAACTCACTCAACAATTAACCTCATGGGTCATCAAGGAGCTGGAAATAAACCAAAATATAATGGAAATGGCAAGAAAAGAGCATTGAAAGATAATGCATCGCCTGTCCAAGTTCACAAGAAGGAACGAAAAAAATGATAGGTGTCATTTCTGTAAGAAGCCTGGACACTATCAGAAAGATTGCCTGAAACGTAAGGCATGGTTCGAAAAGAAAGGTAAACCTCTTGCTTTTGTATGTTTCGAATCAAACCTAACAGAAGTTCCTTATAATACTTGGTGAATTGATTCTGGTTCTACCACTCATGTTTCAAATACGATGCAGGGATTCCTTACGACCCAAACCATAAATCCAAATGAAAATTTCATCTTCATGGGTAATCGAGTCAAAGCTCCAGTTGAGGCCATTGGAACCTACCGCTTGTTTTTAGACACTGGACATCATTTAGATCTTTTTCAAACTCTTTATGTACCTACTGTTTCTCGCAACTTCGTTTCTTTGTCTAAACTTGATACCGTTGGTTACTCTTTTAAATTTGGAAACGGATGTTTTAGTTTGTTTAAGTATAATCATCATCTTGGTTCTGGTGTTCTCTCTGATGGTTTATACAAATTAAGACTTGATAATCTTTTTGCTGAATCTCTATTAACCTTGCATCATAATGTTGGAACTAAATGAAGTTTAGTGAATGAAAATCCAGCTTATTTGTGGCATAAACGTTTGGGACATATTTCCAAAGAAAGAATACAAAGATTGATAAAGAATGAAATCCTTCATAATTTGGATTTTACCAATCTTGGTATTTGTGTGGATTGTATTAAAGGAAAACATACAAATCATACAATTAAGAAAGCCGCCACAAGAAGTACACAGCTCCTTGAAATAATACACACCGATATATGTGGACCTTTTGATGTTCCATTCTTTAATAAAGAAAAATATTTTATCACCTTTATTGATGATTTTTCACGTTATGGATATGTCTATTTGTTGCATGAAAAATCTCAATCAGTAGATGCCTTAGAGGTATTTATTAATGAGGTTGAAAGACAATTAGACAAAAAGGTAAAAATCATTAGATCTGATAGGGGTGATGAATTTTATGGAAAATATAACGAAACGGGACAATGTCCTGGTCCATTTGCTATATTTCTTGAAAAACATGGCATATGTGCTCAATACACTATGCCAGGTACACCGCAACAAAATGGTGTTGCAGAAAGACGTAATCGTACACTAATGGACATGGTTAGGAGTATGTTGAGTTATTCCTCTTTACCCTTATCATTGTGGATGTATGCTTTAAAAACCGCAATGTATTTGTTAAACAGGGTTCCTAGTAAGGCAGTTCCAAAGACTCCTTTTGAACTGTGGACGGGAAGGAAACCCAGTTTGAGACACCTTCATGTTTGGGGTTGTCCTGCGGAAATACGAATTTATAATCCACATGAAAAGAAACTGGATTCAAGAACAACCAGTGGTTTCTTTATTGGTTATCCAGAAAAATCTAAAGGGTATAGATTTTATTGTCCTAGTCATAGCACTAAAATTGTTGAAACTGGAAATGCCAGGTTTATTGAGAATGGTGACATTAGTGGGAGTATGGAACCACGTAAAGTGGAAATTCAAGAAGTTAAAATGAATGTTTCTTTGCCTTTAACTTCTTCTCAAATTGTTATTCCTACAGTTATTGAACAGTTTAACGACTTTCAAGAACAACAAATAAATGATCAAACACTCCATGAAGACGTTGTTACCAATGAACCTGCAATAGATATACCTCATGAAGAAGTTGCATTATGAAGGTCTCAAAGATAGAAAAAATCTGCTATTCCTGATGATTATGTGGTTTATCTACAAGAGTCAGAATTTGATCCTGGAATTGATGAAGATCCGATTTCATTTTCACAGGCCATGAAAAACCATAATTCTGATAAATGGTTTGATGCCATGAAAGATGAGTTGAAATTAATGGAGCATAATAAAGTTTGGGATATTGTAGAATTTCCTAAAGGTTGTAAAAGAGTTGGGTGTAAATGGGTCTTTAAGACCAAATACGACTCAAATGGCAATATCGAACGATACAAGGCTAGACTCATTGCCAAAGATTTTACTCAGAAAGATGACATTGACTATAAAGAAACATTTGCTCCTGTTTCGAAAAAGGATTCCTTGAGAATTATTATGGCTATGGTAGCTCATTATGATTTAGAGCTACATCAAATGGATGCGAAAACTGCCTTTCTAAATGGAAATTTAGATGAAGAAGTTTACATGGACCAACCCGAGGGTTTTTCAGTTGAAGGAAAGGAACACATGGTGTATAAACTTAAGAGGTCAATATACGGACTGAAACAAGCTTTCCGACAATGGTATCTTAAGTTTAATGATACTATTACATCTTTTGGATTTAAAGAAAACATCGTTGATCGATGTATATATCTAAAGATCAGTGGGAGCAAGTTTATATTTCTTATTCTGTATGTTGATGATATCTTACTTGCTGCTAATGATCTTGGTTTATTACACGAGACCAAGAAATTTCTCTCTAAGAACTTCGAAATGAAAGATATGGGTGAGGCATCCTATGTGATAGGAATTGAAATATTCCGTGACAGATCACAAGGATTGTTAGGGTTGTCTCAAAAATCATATATTAATAAAGTTCTAGAGAGGTTCAAGATGAATAAATGCTCTGCATCTATTGTTCCAATTCTGAAAGGGGATAAATTCAGTCTTATACAATGTCCAAAGAATGAATTGGAACATAAACAAATGGAACAAATTCCTTATGCATCCATCATTGGGAGCTTGATGTATGCTCAGGTTTGTACAAGACCTGACATTAGTTTTGCTGTCGGAATGCTTGGTAGATATCAAAGTAATCCAGGATTGGATCATTGGAAAGCTGCAAAGAAGGTATTGAGATACTTGCAAGGAACAAATGATCATATGCTCACTTATAGGAGATCTGATCACCTTGAGGTGATTGGATATACAGATTCAGATTTTGCTGGATGTTTGGATACTAGAAAATCCACATTTGGCTATCTGTTTCTTCTATCTGGAGGAGCGATCTCATGGAAAAGTGCGAAGCAGTCTGTCATTGCTGCATCGACTATGGAGGCTGAGTTCGTGGCATGCTTTGAGGCCACTGTTCATGGATTATGGCTGTGGAATTTTATTTCAGGACTTGGAGTTGTTGACAGTATTGCCAAGCCGCTGAAAATTTATTGTGATAATGCTGCAGCAGTCTTCTTTTCTAAAAACGACAAGTATTCGAAGGGTGCTAAACATATGGAATTAAAATACTTTGCCGTTAAAGAAGAAGTTCAGAAACAAAGAGTGTCAATTGAGCATATTAGCACAAATCTTATGGTTGCGGATCCGTTAACAAAAGGATTGCCTCCAAAGACATTTGGTGAACATGTTGAAAGAATGGGCATTATTGAAAATCATTACTAACTTTTATGTAAAGTTCATGCTCTTTATATATTTGACATTTTGTGCTCATCTAAATATTGTTTCTGATATTTTAATGCATCCTGTTTATTATTGTTAGTATATACATAAATGATTATGTAAATATTAACAGGATATGTCTCTGATAAGGACATTATTGTTGGACCATTATGATAAGTCTTATTACAGGTCATGTTTAGTTTAAAACTAATATTGTGATACATGGAAGGGACTATGTCGATTTAGCTGCGTACTACCGCCATGATCCTTATTAGTTTTCTACTTAATGAATGATGATTGATGGTTTGATCAATATAATGATGGAATTAGCTTATACTATGCATATTATGTTGTATTATAAAATCATAATGTTAAAATATAAAACATGGGCCAAGTGAGAGAATGTTAGATTTTTTTAGTGGCCCACGTTTGTTTTAACCAACCTTAATGGTTTCGGTTTTATTCCCACTAATTTTTTAACTGCACACATTTTATGAACCTTAATGGTCATGTTTTAGTTAAATAACTATTCACGTATGCTAAGTTCCTATTGGTCAAGATAACTACCCACATTGATGGATTGTGAGTGGTTATTTTCTATTTAAAAGGCTTGGTCCTCTCTCTACCATTTTATGCGAAAATTTTCTCTCCATCAAGAAAATTTCGGAAAATATTAAGAGGGCAAAGAGAGAGAAATCGAAGTCTTCAACGTTGTCTCTTTGCAGTTTAAATTTTGTCAAACTTCGAATCATGGATCAAGGTACGTTCTCTCAATTAGATTGTTCATTGTGAAAATCATATGTTCTAAGATCTTGGTATAATGATAATTAAATCAAAATAAAGTTTGATTTACTTAAGAATTTAAGTTTACATGTTAGGGGTAGGGGCGATAAACAAACGAATCAAATCGAATATTAAGATGTTTGTATTTATATTTGTTTAATATTGTCGAATTCAAACTCAAACACGAACATCCATGTATAGAGTTTTTCGAATTCGGACTCGAATACTTGATATTTGATAAATATTCATGAATATTCACGAATATTTATCGAATGTCAAAGTATATTCATTCCGCTAAAGAATTTAATTTTAAATAGTATTTACATTTCATAAATGAAAATTATTACTTTATAGTTATGATGTGTGTGTGTATATATAAATTCAAAAAATTTATTAGAAAACCAGTTTAAGATTCTTTAAGGCTCTCAAAATTAGTATATAGAATTTAAATAGAAAATATAAGTGGGTTGAATATATAACATTATATGCATAATAAAAATTATAAGCGATCAAAATTTAAAGGAATATTTGATAAGCAAACGAATCTAATATATACCGGGTTAAATTCTATTCGTTAATGAACTCGAATACTAAATAGTATTTATTTAGTGTTAAATGAACTACCAAATTAAATATGACCGAATAGTTAGTCAAACAATTAACGAACTATTTGTTAACTATTTGGTTCGTTTCCACCCCTAGTTAGGGGAAGGGGGAATAGGGGGAAAGTTGGGTTGGGTTGTGGAGAGGGAAGAGGGAGAGAGGAGGAATTTTCTTGCCAATTGCCTAATGTGAGGAAGTTTCTTTTTAACCAAAAACAGAAAACATTTCGTAAAAAAGGATAAAGAAGATATTTCTTTTATGATGAGGTCATTTCCATAACTTGCGAGGTTAAGTGAGAAGAGTTATGGGTGTTTAGTTGGAAAGTTAAAGTTCTTGGGGGTGTTATAAGAAACGCCTCAAGGTATTAGAGGGTTTCGCTAAATTTTACCCTGATATTTATGCTGCTATTGGGAGTTGGGAAGATGCCTAGATTTGGAGAGGGATGTTGAAGAAGAGCGGGTTGAGGTAATCTTGAAGGCAACTTGGAAAGTGTTTATATTAAACTAAAAGGATAGTGAGTTTTCTACCTTTGATATTGTGTGATGTGCATTCATGATAGAGTATGTACGAGCCATTTTTGAGAGGCAGACTTCAGTGAGACATCACATGTATGTTTGTAAAATCTAATAAATGAGGTTAATTTCACCTACTTTTATACCTTACATACAGTCTCACTGAGCTTTGTAGTGGAACATTGAAAGCGTATAACGTTTCATGTATTTTATCTGAAGAAAAACCCGTAGATACTTTGTGCTCTACATCATATACACATGCCTCAGCACCTTTGCAAACATATTGCCATAAATTTCAGCAGCTTGCATATTGTATTTCATGATGATAAACAAATATCCATTTCCAAGGGCAAGTCATAGGCAAACAGATTTCTACACAAATAGTGGCTTCCAAGCAAAGGAAGTCACTAAGCAACTTAATTACAGGAAACACTTAAATCTATTACTTCATAGACAGTTCACGGTATGTTTATGAGTAAAAATCCCTTTAGCATGTCAAAGCTTTGAATATAACCGTGCTGTAGAGCTCGACTTGCTGTGCAACTTCTTCTTCAGTTTGTAGAGAACGCCATGCACTTGCTCAAAATGAGGATGTGTATAGTTCTTCACGTTTTCAATCCACTGCACAATCTTTTCATGATGTTCTAATATTCTCTGCCGATGATTATCATCCACAACCTGGAAAAAAGGAATACAATGGTTGATTAAAAAACATAATATAATTGTTGCATGCTAAAAGACCAAGGAAAAATCAGCAATTTTCCATTTTATATGTAGAAAAAATAAGTCAAATCGTGGAGTCCCTCCTGTACTTCACCATATGCTATATATTCACCTGTCAGTGAACTCAATTGCTACTGAGTTGATTGAAGCTATATGTGAAGTCAAGACATTACTCCCAAGTGGTTTCTTTCATACCTTCCTAGAGTTTTATGAAATCACATCAGATCTCGAACTATACTTTATTCCCATGAACAATATTATGCTTAACTCCACTCAAATACCCTATAGTTTCCTCTAAGTTGCACTTATATACCCTCACTTGCTTTTGACAACAATTATGTACCCTATATCTTTTAAGACTTTCACTTATATACCCTCATTTGTTTTGTTAGCACTCATATACCCTAAAGTTTTTAGAACTTGTTCTTAAGAAAAATTCTTTAAGGACCCAAAATATGGGACCAATAGAGGAGATAAGTGAGGTGTCCCCTCCTATTGGATAATGAGTTGGCCATCATTAATGATGACCAACTCATTATCCAATAGGAGGGGGACACCTCACATTGTCCCCTTTATTGGTCCCATATTTTGGGTCCCTATAGCAAAGCTCTTGTTCTTAAATACGCTGAAGTTATTAAAACCAACACTTAAATATCATAAAGTTTTTAAAACTTGCATTTATATACCCTCAAGTTTTAAAATCTTTAGGGTATATAAGTGTTGCCAAAACAAGTTAAGTATGTAAGTGCAAGTTTTAAAAACTTTAGGATATGTAAGTGGCTAAGTGCTACCAAAAACAAGTGAGGGTATATAACTGCAAACTAGGGGAAACAATATGGTATTTAACTCCAATTAAATCATAATATTATATTTTCATCAGTGGAATCTAAGATATCTAAATTCCAAAATTTGGTGAGCTCCAGAAATCAAGCATCAAAGCAGATTATTCATGGCTCGTAAACAGAAATTAGAATCAGTTAAACCTCCAAATATAAATACATATTATAATCTCTACCAAAAAAAAGCAACTCCAAAAATTACAAAACAAAAGAAAAATAAAATAAAATAAAATGTTCACCAAGCAATAGGCAGGTCTAGCTGTTGAAAGATGGAGATATCTGACCATGAACACTATTTGCAGGGAAAGATTGAAATAGCTTTCGTAACCAAAAAAAGGCAACTCCAACAATTACAAAACAAAAAAATAAAAATAAAAATAATGTGTTCACCAACAATAGGCAGGTCTAGCTGTAGAAAGATGGAGATGTAGGACAGGGAGAAATCTGACCATGAACACTATTCGCAAGGAAAGATTGAAATAGCTTTCACGAGGTCACTTACAATGTAGTGAATGGAAGGGTTAAGCCAATTCTAATAATGATTCTGCATTTTACACAATATCTGCGAGATGTAAAAGATTAGCAATTTTTATTACTACTTTCTTATTACTTGATGAACAATGTAGTTGTTTCGTCCGGCATACGCACTCCTCTACCGAACTTCACTATTAGTATTTTGCCCATGTGGCCTTTTGTATGATTTTGATATTTTATATTTTGTATCTATATGTTTCATTAAACTCTTTTTAATGACGTGGGGGAATCTCCCACCATTTTTATCCAAAAAAAGTAGTAGTTTCTCACCCTATTGTTGATGTCATGCGCAGTAAAATATCAGAAGAATATCTCATAATTTCACAAACATAGATATATTTACCTCCAAATGCATAATTTCACAAACAAGGCTGAGATCAGCAATGGATGGCTGAGGATTTCCCAGTAAAAACTTTGCATTTCCTTTAAGCCAAAGGGATTCAATATTTGAGAGAGAAGACAGCAAAAGTATCTCACCCTCCTCTGCTGCTTGAGGGTTCAACGGAAGACCAAATGCAGGTGCCAGTGTACTATTCAGAATAAAGGTTACTGCACGAGATAATTACAGTTTAGTAAAAAGTCAGTCCTTGACATGGCATTGATACAGAATAGCACAAATATCAAGCTATGCAGGCCTCAGGCCGAGAGTCATGTTATTTTGGTGGAGTTCACAATACAACATGCAACAAGTCATTTTACATGTTTTTTATGCCTATAAATACTTCTTGCATATTAAGTGAACGTTGAGATGTCATTACTACCATTCAACTACAACAAACCCTTATATCAAGTTTTTGAGATGTGTCTTTATTGCCATTCATATCTTGAAGAACATTATCTGAAATGACATAAAAATAGTAACTCATATTACAGTGGTGGAGAATCTTATATTGCATTTCAACATACTTAAAGTTAATTTACAGAAAGATGCGTCCAGGCTAATTTAGAATATGTCATGTGAACACACACGTGCGCGTGCACACACAGACACTCCAACCTATCTCCAACCGCGTACCCACCACCACCCCTACACCCATGAACACACACATGCACACACACTTATATGTGTACATTATACCCTATTTAGCATGGGTACTTCTATCATGAATCCATACGCGTGTCTGAGACTCTGACATCCTCACCGGACACTGACACTTCCGTGAACATTTCCAGGATATGTGCATACACTGATTCAAAGGTGTCCTCAATGATATAATGCATGCCAATTTAAAGCAGTCATCGAACTTTTGTTGGACATATAACCACACTTTACACACATTTCTTTATTCAAATAACATGTTTGAAATATCTATTGTCAGTTATATACCAAAGGCTACAGTGGAATGGTATAAAATATTGACTCAAATGAAGTAAGTTTAGATGTTTGACAATTTGTATAAAGTTGAAAAGCCAGGTCATAAAATTTTTGTAAAAATGTATAATAGGTCAAAAAAATTAGATCATATGTAAGCATTATATGTTTTATATAAGATATATATTCTTTTAGACTCCTGGATGTATAAACATAAGCACATCTGCATATGCACGTATCTAAACTCTCTGTTTAGTATTACAATAATTATAATTTCAATTTGTGTTGCCATGTGGGAGTATCCTACTTTTAAAGAATAGTGATGTCCTATGTTCATATCATATCCGTGTCATGCACCCATGTTCATGCTAGTTATCACACATAGCATGCACTGGCGCACATATGTACACCATTCTTATACGCACATATACGTATAAACTATGTTCTGAATCTTGGGATGATATAAATATGAACTCTAATAATACATATTCTAATTTCATGTTGTGTTGCCATGCAGCAATGTCCTACTTTTTAAAGAACTATGATGTTCCATGCTCGTGTCGTGCACATATCATGCACCTGTGTTCATGCTACTTAGCATACTTAGCAACCATAGAGCTTAGCTATGTAGTATTAGGAACAGCAACAAGCGTCAGTTTTATCCATGGATGGAAAATTGCACTAGCACCTATTGTCACTTCCCCTAAAACCGTGCCCGGCAACCAGAAAGTTAATGGAAAGCAAACAAAACACTGGAAAGTGGCTTCACTTTTCATTTTTTTCATATTCGCACTAGAGAAGTGACTAGAAAGGAAATGGAAAATGAAGAGTCCCACATGAGCATTTAGCCTCTTTCACTTTCTCAAAAAATTTGAGAAGGTTGATAGAAAGTTAAAGGAGAGCAGAGAGAAATTACTTTTTAACCTTTTCACTACGTTGTTCTTATTCTTTTTTTCAAATTTTAATGTAATGACCACTCAACTCTTCGAATTTATTCCCTCGTCAAACTTTATGGCAGACTTTCCCCGCCACATAATTTCACTCAAGGCGCAAAATTGCCATACCTGTTGATATTTTATGGACAAGAGTTCAAGCATTACACAAACTATATTAAAAATAAATATATACCAAGGTACAAAATAATCATTTCAAAAATATTTCTATTAGACTATAAATTCTAGATTAGTCTTAATTGTAGTGATTTATGCAGTGTTTTATTACTCCTATTTCTATTAGACTATTTTAAAACTTTCCATATGTCACTTTCCACTATCCACTTTCCATCGAAAACAAACACACATATAATGAAAATAGATGCCATGTCAGTGCCACCTCAACTTTCCATAATTCCACTTTGAATCATCCAAACAAGATTTCCAAATAGAAAGTGAAGAAAAAGTACTTTCTTGAGAAAATACTTCCTCCTCACTCTCTATTTTCTATTTACGTTCAGCTTGCCTAACACATTCAAATTTAAGAAGGGTATGAATAAGGAATTTCAAGAGGAAACTTGACTTGGATTCTATGCTTGACTAATAAAGATCTAACATAAAGAGGACATAAAGGAAGACTAGAAGCAAAATAAATAACGAAACCAAAGGAAAATATTTAATTTGAACACAACGAGAAACATCATATAGATCAATTGGGTACATGAAAGACAGATATAATGATAAAATGCTTAAAATTTCTGCATGAGAAGATGACAAGGCATGCAAACAACTTATAGGACCACATGAAATTATGTCTCTACAGAGAAGGATTTCTACTTAAACCTTTGAAAGTGGTTCCTATACAAATTGAAAAATATTGTACAATATATGATATATGATGACCAATACCCAATTATTTGGGATCTTTATAACAATATTCCTTCACCATCACTCTGTTTTGAGGGCGGATTCACAGAAAAGCAGATGGGAGACCATCTTAGACTTGTATTCAGGTAATGAGAAGTGGAGTTTAATGACTTCAATACTCTTTCTAGACAAGTCAAGGACAAGTTATCGCTTGTTAGATTGGTCATACAAAGGTTGTGCTTTTAGAGATATCTTGCTACAAATCAGCCAATTGGACTGCTGTCAACTACTCAGCCATAAACGAAAATTCAGGAGTTGGTACGATGTTAGACCACAACTTAGGCTTTTCCAGAGTGTCATTAGGGATAATTTTCTCTCTTCAAATGAGAGAGGGTTTTCTGGGAGTTTTGTTTCAACAGTTTTGTTTAGAATGTTTCTTAGGAGAACCAAAGAAAAGTGTTTTGGTTTAGAGTTTGTGTAACACCTAAACCTGCTATACATAATAGAACTCTCTCTCCTGGTTCACCCATAGAATATGGACCCATTGTTGTAAGTCTTCTTGTGCTTCTGTCTGTTCTGATTTATGCATTGGTTGCAACTGGGCTTTCTAGTTTGTTCCCCATGCCTAGTATCGGGGTCCCCTTTTATGCATTGGTTTCAACTGGGCTTTCTAGTTTGTTCACCATGCTTTGTATCGCTATCCCCTTTCCGCATTTGACAAAAAATATCACAAAACATGGATAACTCATCAGAAATTAGGATGTATGCTTTATGTTCATAATTTAATGCATCTTTGTTTTTTAATTCTAACGATTATTAGAAATTTCTGCAGCAGGATGTGCAATCTGAATGATTAATTGCATATCCATTTGTTTGTTTCAGTAGTTCCATTTTAATAATAATCTTTTCAGAGTTTGCATCATTAACTTTCAAGTAATAAAATGTTGAATTAAGTTCTTAAGGGATTTGACCAGAAATTGTTGCCTTTAATAATTTGAGGAAGAATAAATGCATCAAATATCTGCATAAATTCGAATTAAGTAACAAGCAAGATATTAGAAATGCTAAATTCAAATATCATCACCTGAACCGCGACGTAGGTTGGAGTGATGCCAGGCTAATATTGAGTTAATTTTGGCTCTGCTGAAAAGATCAGCAGGATACCTTCCCAAAAAAAAAGAAAGAAACAAAAAGAACTATGTGACAAAATTTTGATTATAAAGCACGCGAAAGAAGGGAAAAAGGATTATATAAAAACTTCAGTGTTACTATGGAAAGAATGGAGGAAATATTTTCTTTGTAAATGTTTGCCAAAAAGAGGAATTAAATCTCCTCTTTAAACAATAAATTTGGAGATGATTGATTTAATAAGAGGCAAACAAATTTTTCTATTGTCCCCAGTCCATATCCCAGCTCTTCTGTCATCTATGAATAATTTTTTTTTATTTTTTTTCAAATATGATCATTAGTCCTTCTTCCCTTCTCAACCTTCTTGTTCCCTAATCGTTAGATGCAAACAAGATGTGGAGGCTTTTGTTGCAGGCATACTTCTATTTTAGCTGTGTTCATGCCTTGTGACCATTTGGGCTTGTTGGTGTCTGTGCTTCTAAAGTGGTGGTACATGCAGAGAAGATTGAAATGTTGCAGCTTGATACTTGAAAGAATTCTCAAGCAAAAGTAAACTATCACTTAAAAGGACATACGAGTATATTTACTTCTTGTGAAGAGGCTTGTTATGTGTGATTATAATCCCCCATTCCCCAACACAAAATAAAAATAAAAATGACAGGCCCTCACAGATAGTAACCAAAATTTATGTTCCTGGTCCCGGCTGTGAATACTACTTGAAAATAAAGTTTATATAAAGATTTTTTTTTTAAAATCTATAAGGGAAGCAAAGAAGCTGGAAAATTCAGGTTTTGTGCCGAACTGTTTCCTTTTTGAGGAAAGTGGACAAAACAATTCACATTGAGTAAAAGGTATGAAACGGCTATAATCATAATACAGTAATAAAGCTAACATACCAGTGATCTGAAATTCCCGGAAAAGCACAAGCGAGATAGATCAGAATGGCATGACTGTCAACAATGAAGCATCAGAAATTTGGTTTGTGAATAAGCATAAAGGAACTTGGGTCAAAGAAACGAGTTGAAGCATATGCAGATCCAGTCATAGTATAAACATTAAGCATAAAGAGAAGAGAATATAGCATAACCTGAAGAAGGTTATATAATTCACTGAAGTGAGGAAACAAGAAGTTCAGAAGGAAAGCATGAAATGTTATCTAGATTAGGGTATGAATAAGTAGCAAAGTTAAAACATTTTATATAGTTTAGCCTTTCAAAGTATCTTGCAAACTAGAAGTTACACTGTGTAAAAGTACTTTTTCCTCTATAAATTTGAAGTTCCAAAGAAGATCAACCAACAAGTCTCACTATTAATAAGCAAGAAATTCATTATTAAAGGCTGTGGAACCTTTACCACAGTAGAGTTATTACTTTTTTTTTTTTTTGCATTATAGTTAAGTAGGATATTGGCATTTTCAAATTGATAATAACCATAAGGCAATTGTCGAATTCTACCTAGAAAACATTAAGAAAATCAAGCTAAATATCCTACATGCAAAAAAAAAAAAAAAGAAAGAAAGAGAAAAAAAGAGAGTTGAAGTACATACAAAATTAGAAAGAAAAAACAGAATACCTCTCAAAGAGTTTAAATCTTCCATCAGCAATTGCTGGAACCTGCCCCATTGGATTGATTTCTGAAAAATGTGTCATCAGAGTGTTACTATATCTAGTTGCCCATAAATCCCTCTTGAATAAAATAACTCAAAGCCAATAGCATATGCAAAATGAAAAAAAAAATCAGATTAAATATAATTTCACTAGACGTGCAAAAATGCAATGAAATCTGACTCTATTGGAAGGTATTTCATCAGAATTCTTTATGAGAATCATGGAGCTTGCTCCCACTTAGGAGTGATATTCAAACTTACAAAGAAAAAAATTCCTTTAAATCTATCATTAGCCTCTCAACCCCTAAAATATAGAAACCAATAGTAACACTACCAGAGTACAAAACTATAACCCTCAAACCTCACCACAACATTAGGTGTCGTTTGGCAAAAGGTTAAGTGAGAGGTTAAGGAGACTTAACCCCTTCTTAACCCGCCAAACACAAAAAATCTATATAAAGGTTAAAGTGAGTTAACCCTCTATAATTTGCCAAATACAAAATATATAGAAAGCTTAAGCTAACCCCTCTAGAGGGATTAAAATGAGTTAACCCCTCAAAATAAGGGGTTTACTAAAACTCCTATTTAGAAGGATTAAGAGCTAAACCCTCTGGCCCCGTTTGGCAAATGGTTAATGAAGAGGGGTTAAAGAGAAGGATTAATATACTTAGCCCATTTGATAATCCGAAGGACTAAATTATTAACCCGTTAAATAAGTTTTATTTTAGCCCTTATGATCAGTTTTATTGGCGTCGAAGCGGTCGCTGGCGACAGGCTGTCGCCAGCCCATCAACTCTTCCTATAAAACCCCCCTCCAGCCTAGGGTTTGTTGCTGCTGATTTCTTCCCCTCCTCCGACTTTTCTCTCTGGCGGCTGCCCTAAATCGCTGCTGCGATTTTGTGATTTATCCCAGCTTCAACAGTGTTTGAGGGGATTTAAAAAGAGAGAAATAGAGAATTAAAGAGGGGTTTATATTGTGGGGTATTTATTCTCAAGTGAGAATTGAAAGGGTTCATACCCTTTGATTATTAACACTGTAGCTACAGTGTTTAATTGAGAGATCTCATTTTTGATCTGCTCTTATAATTGTAATTTCTTGTTTGATTAATAAGAAATTATCTGTGTGGCTCCCGAGGACGTAGGCAGTTGCCGAACCTCATAAATCTTGGTGTACTTTTTCTATTCTGCATTTCTATTGCATTAGTGATTTTTAGCGTTAAATTCCTAACAACTGGTATCAGAACGTGAAACGATCTAGAGGAAGTCAGATTCAAGTGGGAGCCATGGCCGCAGATGAAGGAAAAATAAGACTTGAGAAATTTGATGGAACAGATTTTGGATTCTGGAAAATGCAGATAGAGGATTATTTGTATCAGAAAAATCTATATCAACCGCTATCGGGGAAGAAGCCGGATTCTATGAAGGCAGATGAGTGGAACCTTCTAGATAGACAAGCCCTCGGAGTTATCAGATTGACATTGACTCGCAATGTTGCGTTCAACATAGCGAATGAGAAGACCACGGTGGGTCTTATGGCAGCTCTCTCAAATATGTATGAGAAGCCATCAGCCGCAAATAAAGTTCATTTAATGCGGCGGTTATTCAATCTGAAAATGACGGAAAGCGCGTCAGTAGCACAACACCTCAATGAACTTAATACGGTTACAACCCAATTGAGTTCAGTTGAGATTGAGTTTGATGAGGAAGTTCGGGCGTTGATACTTTTGTCTTCCCTATCAGAGAGTTAGAACGCTACAGTCACAGCTGTGAGTAGCTCGTCGGGAAATAATAAGTTAAAGTTCGACGACGTTCGTGATTTGGTTCTCAGTGAGGAGATCCGACGGAGAGAGACTGGTGAAGCTACAACCTCTTCAGTATTGAATACAGGATCAAGAGGTAGAAATTCAACCAGAAACGGACGAGGCAAATCAAACTTCAGAGGTAGATCAAAGGACAGGAGGTCCAAATCAAGGAATCCAAGCAACAGCTCGAAGGCTATCGAGTGTTGGAATTGTGGAAAAACCGGGCATTATAAGAATCAGTAAGAGTGCACAGAAAGAGAAGGAGGCGAAGGCAGAGGTGAATGTCACTTCCACTTCAGGAGGAGACGACGCATTGATATGCTCTTTGGAGAGCAAGGAGGAATCTTGGGTGTTAGATTCAGGAGCGTCGTTCCATGCTACCTCTCAGAAAGAATTCTTCGAGAAGTATACCCCCGGAAATCTTGGATACGTATATCTTGGTGATGATCAACCATGTGCTATTGTGGGCAAAGGCGTGGTGAAAATTAAGTTGAACGAGTCTGTATGGGAGCTGAAGGATGTCAGGCATATTCCCGACCTGAGAAAGAATTTAATATCCGTAGGTCAGTTGGCTGTCGAAGGATATACCACGACCTTCCATGGAGGTGATTGGAAGATCTCAAAGGGCGCAATGACGATTGCCCGATGCAAGAAGACTGGTACCCTGTATATGACAGCAGGTGCACGTTGTTCGATCTCAGTTGCAGCAAGCAATGAGACCTCAAAGCTGTGGCACCAGAGACTCGGTCATATGAGTGAAAAGGGGATGAAGATCATGCACACAAAGGGAAAATTCCTAGGACTGCAGTCAGTGGAGATGGATATGTGTGAAGAATGTATACTTAGAAAGCAGAAGAGAGTCAGCTTTCAGACAAGTGGCAGAACCCCCAGGAAGCAGAAGCTAGAGCTCGTTCACTCAGATGTGTGGGGACCAACAACCACCGCGTCCATTGGTGGAAAACACTACTTCGTGACTTTTATCGATGATCACTCTCGGAAAGTGTGGGTCTACTTTCTGAAGCATAAGTCAGAAGTATTTGAGGCTTTCAGGAGATGGAAAGCTATGGTCGAGAATGAGACCGGTCTGAGAATAAAGAAGCTCAGGACCGACAATGGCGGTGAGTATGAAGACACCGGATTCAAGAAGTTCTGCTATGAGCACGGGATCAGAATGGAGAGAACCGTGCCTGGCACGCCTCAGCAAAATGGTGTAGCTGAGCGGATGAACCGAACGTTGACAGAGAGAGCCAGAAGCATTCGAGTACAGTCAGGCCTACCGAAGCAGTTCTGGGCAGAAGCGGTCAACACAGCAGCTTACTTGATCAACCGAGGTCTATCGGTTCCATTGGAGCACAAAATACCAGAGGAGGTATGGTGCGAAAAAGAGGTAAGACTCTCACATCTTAAAGTTTTCGGTTGCGTAGCTTACGTGCACATTAGTGATCAAGGCAGGAATAAGCTTGATCCCAAGTCAAAGAAATGCACTTTCATCGGCTATGGTGAAGATGAATTCGGCTACCGCATTTGGGACAACGAAACAAGAAGGTGATCAGGAGCAGAGATGTGATATTCAACGAGAAGGTGATGTACAAGGACATGCACAAGACTGATGACTCAGAGAGCGAGTCAATATTTGTAGATGCAGATGATGTCCCGAGTAACCTCTCGGAAGAACCCAATGCAGAGGGTCCTCAGCAAGAAGAGCCTGTTGGACAAGATGGTGCGCAGGAGCCCGACGCACCAGCTCCGATATTAAGAAGATCTTCTCGTCCTCCTGTACCCAACAGAAGATATATGAACTATCTGTTGCTGATAGATAGTGGGGAGCCTGAAAGCTTTGATGAAGCTTGTCAGTGTGGAGATGCGAGCAAGTGGGAGCTTACAATGAAAGATGAGATGAAGTCTCTCATATCAAACCAGACGTGGGAACTAGCTGAGTTGCCCACGGGTAAGAAGGCACTCCACAACAAATGGGTGTACCGGGTGAAAGAGGAGCAGGATGGTTCCAGAAGATATAAAGCCCGGCTAGTTGTCAAAGGTTTCCAGCAGAATGAAGGAATTGACTACACCGATATTTTCGCTCCCGTGGTGAAGCTAAATACTATCAGGACCGTGATGAGTATTGTAGCAATTGAAGATCTTCATCTCGAGCAGTTAGACGTGAAGACGGCGTTTCTTCACGGAAATCTAGAAGAGGAGATATACATGCACCAACCAGAAGGTTTCTCAGAAGAAAAGAAGAAGAACCTGGTGTGCAGACTCAAGAAGAGCTTGTATGGCCTGAAACAAGCCCCAAGACAGTGGTACAGAAAGTTTGACGGCTTCATGCACAAGGAAGGTTTCCAGAAGTGCAACGCCGACCACTGTTGCTACTTCAAAAGATATCAGTCCAGCTATATCATCCTACTGCTGTATGTTGATGATATGTTGGTTGCAGGAGCAGATATGAAGGATATCAAGAGTTTGAAGCAGCAGCTGTCAAAGGAGTTTGACATGAAGGACTTGGGTCCAGCGAAGAAGATCATTGGAATGCAAATCACGAGAGATAAGAAGAGAGGTCTCTTGCAGTTATCTCAGACGAAGTACATCAACCGTGTTTTGCAGAGATTCAACATGGGTGACGCCAAGCCTGTGAGCACACCCTTGGCCAGTCATTTTCGTCTATCGAAGGATCAGTCTACTCAGTCAGAAGAAGAGAAAGAGAGTATGGCTCAGGTTCCTTACGCCTCAGCTATCGGAAGTTTGATGTACGCAATGGTCTGTACGAGACCAGACATTGGCCATGCAGTGGGAGTGGTCAGCCGTTTTATGTCGAATCCAGGAAAAGCTCATTGGGAAGCGGTCAAGTGGATTCTGAGATATCTACGAGGCACCACACAGAAGTGTTTGCACTTTGGTAAGGGAGAGGTAGAAGTGCAAGGGTACGTAGATGCAGACTTCGGCGGCGAGGTTGATCACCGAAGAAGCACCACCGGCTATGTATTCACCGTCGGAACTACAGCTGTTAGTTGGATGTCACAGGTACAGAAGATCGTTACCCTATCCACTACAGAAGCTGAGTATGTTGCAGTGACTGAAGCCAGTAAAGAGATGATATGGCTTCAGGGTTTGTTGACAGAGCTGGGATTCAAACAGGAGAAGAATGTTTTGCACAGTGATAGCCAGAGTGCGATACACTTGGCGAAGAATTCAGCATTTCATTCTAGAACGAAGCATATTACGCTTCGGTATCACTTCATTAGATCCCTGTTGGAAGATGACGTGTTAAAACTGGAAAAGATTCCAGTGAGTAAGAATCAGGCAGATATGTTAACAAAGACGGTGACTGTTCAGAAACTGAAGTTGTGCGCAACTTCAGTTGGCCTTCATGCATAAGATGATGAGGGCGGAGCCACACAGGAGAGGAGCTTGATGAGATAGCCTGTTGACGTTGGTTTGGTCTCCAAGTGGGAGATTGTTAGGTTGGGGGTGGATACCAACCTCCGGCGGCGGAGGAGCTCCGACGAGCTCCAGGATGACGCAGGCGAGCTCCGGCAGTCGCAGGCGAAGCCACAGGCGGCGAGGTCCAGGCGATCTTCGGCAGCACAGCTCTGCGTTCGAGCCTCCCCCGAACTCTGCGTTCGCCTCCCCCCCGAGCTCTGCGTTTGTTCGACCTCTGCGTTCGGCTCGAAGTTGGCGTCGAAGCGGTCGCTGGCGACAGGCTGTCGCCAGCCCATCAACTCTTCCTATAAAACCCCCCTCCAGCCTAGGGTTTGTTGCTGCTGATTTCTTCCCCTCCTCCGACTTTTCTCTCTGGCGGCTGTCCTAAATCGCTGCTGTGATTTTTGATTTATCCCCAGCTTCAACAGTGTTTGAGGGGGATTAAAGAAGAGAGAGAAATAGAGAATTAAAGAGGGTTTTTTTTTTGTGGGGGTTTATTTATTCTCAAGTGAGAATTGAAAGGGTTCATACCCTTTAATTATTAACACTGTAGCTACAGTGTTTAATTGAGAGATCTCATTTTTGATCTGCTCTTATAATTATAATTTCTTGTTTGATTAATAAGAAATTATCTGTGTGGCTCCCGAGGACGTAGGCAGTTGTCGAACCTCGTAAATCTTGGTGTACTTTTTCTATTCTGCATTTCTGTTGCATTAGGGATTTTCAGCGTTAAATTCCTAACACTAAATAGGAGTATTAGTAAACTCCTCATTTTGAGGGGTTAACTCATTTTAACCCCTCTAGAGGGGTTAACTTAACCCTTCTATATTTTTTATGTTTGGCAAATTATGGAGGGTTAACTCACTTTAACCCTTATATAGATTTATTGTGTTTGGCAGGTTAAGAAGGTGTTAAGTCTCCTTATCCCTTCACTTAACCCTTTGCCAAACAGTACCTCTAATTATAAAGAAAATAGTCAAAATCCTTGTTATTACCAAACACTAAAAATGATCATAAGGGTTAAAATAAAACTTATATACCGGGTTAATAGTCCTTCAAATTACTGAATGAGATGACTATGTTAATCCTTCTCCTTAATCCCTCTTCATTAACCCTTTACCAAACGGGGCAGAGTTTTGGTGCAGTGACAAGGCCCTTCGACATAGTATCAGAGCAAACCCGGTTCAATTTCCACCCATCACGAATTTAAAGCGGATTTTAAAAATATTGATACCATGTCAGATCCATGACCCATCAACCACAAAGCATCCATTAGCTACCAACCTCACCACGATTTCAGAGTTTTGGTGTAGTGACAGGTTTCTTCGACAAATGCGATGTTTTCTGGATTTCAAAATTTCCATTTAACTGCATAAAATTTTATTTCCATGTTTCCCTTAGCTCCCATTTATTTATTTATTTTCAATTTCTTTTTGCTTATACTAACGCAATTTAAGATCTGAAGCCAAAAACTTCACAAAACCCTACAAATTGATGAAACTCAAAAAAAAAAAAAAAATGGGGAATTGAGTTGAGAAGAGGAACCTTTGAATTCTGGTGATTTGTGCTGACCTTTGCCAATATCAATCCTCACCTCCTCGAAATCAATATTGTTCACCCTTATTTTCCCCCAAAAAAGAAAAATTCAAACTAAAAAACATAAAATGGCATGCTTGAAAATTTAATAGAAATTAGTAAAGCAAGTTACTTGCAGAAGATTAAGACGGCACGCGACGGCTGAGACAGCCGATCGACGTACAGCTTCAAACCCATTTCGGTCTCTCACTCTATTTTGATCTAATTTCGAGTGATAAAAACTGCAAATTTTTTGGTCGAGGGAATGCAGGGAACTTAACGGCACGAAATGGGCACCTAACAAAGTACGTACTCAGTCGAAAGGTTTATTCGATACTAGCCCCACCTACCTTCAAATATTCTTCTTGGCCCCTCAAATATTTAAAACATTTAAAATTGCTCATAGGTTCTTCAAATCCTAAGGAGCAAGAAGACTCGCAAATAGGTAGATACATCAGTAACCAAGCCCCTCGTCAGCTTATGTTTTTGTTAACGGAATTTTGGGTTGCACATAACCTAGGGACATTTTGGTCATTGAAAGATCAATTCGCAAGATCCTTTTAGGATTTGAGTGTGGTACAGGCGATTTTAAAGATTTTTGTAAAAAAAAGATGAGACCTCACACAGAAGACCTCAGCCCCTATATTATTCCCTCAAAAACAGTTGTTACAAAAAATGAACCACACCCCCAACTGGAAAGGTGTGATCCAACCTGTCTTTGAGTACTACATCAGTTTGTAACAATTTTAAAGATTTGAGGGACTACTTTGCAATTAGTTACAATGTGAGGGACTAAGATCTAAAAAATCCCTAAATACCAAATACTGTCCTGTGAGATGTAGCGATTATTAACGGAGGCGCTGACCATGAAATCGCACACCTGCTGTAATAATGTGGGTGATATAGGCCAAATATCATTGATGAATTATGGGAAGGCTCCATTCATAATCTCCCAAGGACAAATTTTGAAAACCAATTCATTTCCATACTTATTCACTAAAAACGATCTATTTGAAACTTATTTGTCAAAAGCGACCTAGTTTCAACCAACTGGCTAAAACTGATTTGTTTTTTGTGAAAAAAATATCAAACTTCACGGTATTTCAAGTCGCGTGAAGTTTTTTACATAACAAAACTTCACGAGACTTGAAGTCCCGTGAAGTTTGGTATTTTTTTCACAAAAAACGACCCAGTTTCAGTCCCGTGAAATTTTTTACATAACAAAGCTTCACTGGAGTTGAAGTTTGGTATTTTTTTTTTGCAAAAAACGACCCAGTTTCAGCCAGTTAGCTGAAATTGAGTTGTTTTTAGCAAATAAGTTTCAAATAAGTCGTTTTTTACAATTATTTTTGAAAATGAGTTGCTTTTCAAAATTTGTCCATCTCTTAATTACAAACTAATATATTTCAATTCAAATATATCTATTGTATTCATCACTAATTTAAAATAAAAAATAGGATTGTTACATAGGCCAAATATCATTGATGAATTATTGGAAGGCCTGTAGATCGGAGTGACGTGGCTTACTACCCAAAACAACTAAACGCTAGTTTATGGTCTATTTGGCTCGTAAGCTTATAATTTATTAGTAACGGTTTGCCGGATATAAACCCTTCAACTATTTTATATTTGAAAATTTTGAAGGGAAAATAAAACCCATTGTAAATAAATCATTGTAATGGTTAATTTATTCCTCGATTTGTTTTTCCCCCGCAGCTTTATTTCTCAACCTACTCATTGTTCAAATTTTAATGGATGAACATATTCTCATTATTAGGTGTGCTTCAATTAATATGGAAATTTGGGGGAAGAAAAATTTATTAGGGTGAAGGAGTAAGGACAAATTTTCAAAACCAACCGTTTTAGGATTTTATTTGTAAAAACCGACCCCTTTTGAAAATAATTGCAAAAACCGACCTGTTTTCAGCTCTGAGCTGAAAACAGGTCGGTTTTTGTGAAAAGTTCTCCGAAACATCACGGGAGTTGAACTCCCGTGAAGTTTATGGGGAAATTAAACTTCACGGGAGTTCAACTCCCGTGAAGTTTAATTTTCGTTTAAAACTCCACGGGAGTTGAACTCCCGTGGAGTCACAGTCAACAATTACAGAGAATCGATTCTCTGGCAAAGTACGACTGCAGCTTCACGGGAGTTCAACTCCCGTGAAGTTGCAGTGCCAATTTTCCAGAGATCGAGTCTCATTCATGTCTTACACGACGAGAAGCGTTCGGTCGAATTGTTCATTGAAAAACATCAGAGAGATTTGGGCAAATCGTTAAACTACGAATGAATGTATTCCCGCATGTTGGAGGATCCTGAAGTTGATTCTGTAGGCTTTTTATCTCCTCAACAAGATGCAGTGCCCCAGCTTCCGACCGCCGCCGGCGCCGCCGCCTCCGACCGCCGCCTCCCTTCAGATCTCAGTCTGGTTTTTTTCCAAAAAACAGGTAAATTCTTTCTAAAAAAGCTGTACTCTCTAATTTTTGTATACTCCCACTATTTGATTGTGATTACATGTAAAAATCTACATTTTAGAATTTAATTGTGAATTGTTTACGAATTTTGTGAAGAAATATGAAAATTAGATGGGAAATTATCAATAAATGTGAAAAGTAGAGGGAAAATTATCAATAAATGTGAAAATTAGAGGGAAAATTATCAATGGGGAAATTATCAATAATTTTGTGAAATTAGAGGGAATATTATTAATAATTTCAAAAATTATTGTATTTAGAGTTTAGAATTTAATTGTGAATTATTTAGATTTTGTGCCAACCAAAAATAATACTACAAGCTATAATGTGGTTTGTTTCTATCGCAAAGATGACGATGTCGAAGATAATAGTGGACACCACGACGGCAATGCGAGGTGTCCGTGGAAGCTTAATTCACGCTCGGGTTCAAGAGTAGGTGGGCAATTCAAAATCACGGCATACAATGGACTCCACACTTGTAGCAATCCTCGATTAGAGATGAATAACAAGAATGCATCCTCTTCTTTTATATATCGATTGATTTTACCTCATCTGAGGGAGGATCTTGATCTAAGGCCGAAAGATATCCGTCTTTTAGTGCATAAAGCCACCAACTTGTTATGAAGGAGGCACGACGAGACCGTTGTTCATAACAAAATCGTGTACTTTCGATGATTTGGTTAATGAATTACACAAACTTACATTAACTAACTCACGTGAGTATCACCTCAGTGTGGTTTGCAATTATCCTGTTATGGGGAACAGAACAAGTGGCATTCAAATATTAAGTGACTACGATATGGGTCTCATTCATGTCTTACACGACGAGAAGCGTTCGGTCGAATTGTTCATTGAGAAATAAGTGCAGTAGATGTGATCAACCGGGTCACAACAAAAATAGGTGTCCAGTTAGTATTAGGCGTTGATTTGTATTATGTATCGTTTTGCAGTATGTCATTCGTATTTGTTATCTTTGAAGCGTATGATACTCGTTATTTGTAATATGTTATGTATGATATTGTCTTCATTGCACTCTATATATATATGCTCATATTTTAATCACAGGTCTATTCATTATGGATCCGGGACCGGAGAATCCCGACGTTTTGTACCTTCAGGCGAGTCATTGTTCAGACCATATTGGTTCGGGAGAGGTAATACAAATAAATTAGATATATATTTCTTCGATTAATGTAATTTTTTTAATGAATATACTTAAAACTGATTCTCGTTTTATGTGCAGCCCGTACCAGAGTTCACGATGATCGAGCATTCCCATAGTCATTCGGCTTGGGTTATTGAGGATGAGAGGGTACTAGCTTTGATCGCTCAGGCCGGTTTTCATCCGTGTTCGATGATTCGTTATATCAGGCTTGATTGGCCGCTTATCACTGCTTTGATTGAGAGGTGGAGGCCAGAGACCAACACCTTTCACATGCATATAGGGGAGTGCACGATCACTTTACAGGACGTGGCCGTCATACTTGGGCTCCGGATCGATGGACCGGTAGTTACAGGCACCGATGATCATAGTTGGCCGGAGGTATGTGCCCGGCTTCTTGGACAGGTTCCCGACTTGAGGAGTGGTGCGATGAAGCTATCGTGGCTTCGTCAGACATTTCAGGGCGACATACCAGAGGATGCCTCTGATGAGACGCTCCAGTTTCATGCTCGTGCATACATATTGCACATGATAGGGTGCGTACTATTTCCTGATGCGAGCAAGACTCTCGTACATGCACGATGGCTGCCACTGCTGGAGGATTTTGGTGTATGCGGCGCACTATCGTGGGGCAGTGCGGTGTTGGCATATTTGTATCGAGAATTGAGTAGAGTATCTCTGATGCAGAATAAAGAATTCAAGGGATGCTGTACGTTGATACAGATTTGGTCATGGGAGCGCATTCATATTGGACGACCCACTTTACTTATGCACCGTGACTTAGAGGGGCAGTATCCGTTGGCATACAGGTATAATTGTACACACACATATTACATTCGTAACCTGAATATTTGTACTTATATATTCGCTATTCTGCATATAGGTATAACGTGCGATACGCTCAGTACAAATCAGCGACGCGTCACCGTCAGTTTTACCGAAATGAGCTTGATGGCCTCCAGCATGAACAGGTAAATATAAAACTCAAGAAGTATGAATATTATAGTTTTTCTGTATGATAAAGATAAATGTTTTACTTTATTTCAGTTCAAGTGGAGACCCTATACACCGCCGGAGCTCGATATACATTCTCTTGCACCTATCTGCCGAGATAGTCCCGACTTGTGGAGAGCCAGAGTTCCATTGATCTGTTGGGAGATCGTAGAGATGCATGTACCGGACCGTGTGCTACGGCAGTTTACACTCTCTCAGCATATTCCAGATCCTGTCGAGCAGATCAATCGTCGGCGGCGCCCTACATCGCACCGGACTGACTGGGCCGTAGTCCGTGCGGACTACATAGGCAGGTGGGTTCAGAGGTGGGATTGCATACAGGATACGAGGCCCACAGCTGTTGACTATACCACGTATATGCGTTGGTATTGGGGTATCACACGTAGATGGATCACGCGTGACCCACAGCCTTTAGCTGGACACATGCCACGCCCACCGACAGATAGTTACATCCCTAGTGGGATGAACGAGAGAGATTACGTAAGTTTCTAAGCTAAATTATAATATTTTTTATTGAGTTGATACTTAATAAATTGTTTACCACGCAGGTCCGTGTTTTAGATAGCATTGATGCTGCCTGATACTCAGATAGTTGAGGCTCATCAGCAGGAACCCAGGGGGCGGGGAAGAGCGAGGGGGAGGGGGAAGAGAGGGAGAGGAAGGAGGGGAGCTATATTGGGTTGTATATGAACTTATTTTGATAAATTTTGTAACTTTCCTGAATTTTCAAATACTAAACTTTTGAAGGTAAATTATTGTTTATATACATAATCGTGTGTGTTTAATTCATGGTTGAATCATGTATATATAGTTATTTGCAAATAAATTGGCATATATATGAGTTATAATTCATTGTTGAATCATGTATATATTGTTGTTTGCAAATAAATTGGCATATATATGAGTTAACATGTACATATGTTTTAACATGCACAGCAGGCTGTGCATTCTGGATGACCTGCAACTTCACGGGAGTTCAACTCCCGTGAAGTTGCAGTCCCAATTTCCCAAAGAACCGAGATCGGTTCTCTGGGAATGTTGGACTGTAACTCCACGGGAGTTGAACTCCCGTGGAGTTTTAAGCACAAATTAAGCTTCACGGGAGTTCAACTCCCGTGAAGTTTAATTTCTCCATAAACTTCACGGGAGTTGAACTCCCGTGATGTTTCGGAGAATTTTTTACAAAAACCGACCTGTTTTCAGCGCTGGGCTGAAAACAGGTCGGTTTTTGTAATTATTTTCAAAAGAGGTCGTTTTTTACAAATAAATAGCTAAAGAGGGTGGTTTTGAAAATTTGTCCGAAGGAGTAAATGTCTGTAGATTTGTACATTGGAATTTGTATATTATTCTTGAATACTAGATAGTCCAACACTATTCAATTCATAATTGTATCTATCAATATTTTACAGGAAGCATATATGTATAACCATTTATCTAGGAATTGTTAGGATATGTTTGACAAACTCTCAAAACAGGAACACAATTGACCTTGGACTGTTAAAACTTGTTTTTCCCCCAAGCGCTCACTTGGATCAAAATAGAACTAATGTATATCAAAACTGAACCAAAATCAATCATTTAATCCTGACTCAATTTTGAAGAGTTTGCCAAACTGACCTCGTGTGCAGTCCTCTAGGGATTTAGACTATTTGGATCTATTTGGATAGAAACTAAGAAGGATAAAAGGGAGTGCATCTAATTCTATATCCTAACGAATTTTATCAAAATTTACATGCCAAAATTGAGTCAAAACACAACAAATTGAAAGAACGAATTTTATTAAAATTTACATGCCAAAATTGAGTCAAAACTCAATAAATTGAAAGAGGAATGATGGAATTCCCCTAGAGTATGCATTCACCACAATTAGCCGGAGAAATAGTTTCCCTTTGCAATAATTGTTGTTGACAGAGAGGGTAATGAAGAAAGATAAAAGGAGAGAAAAGTAGTTATTATCTAAATCCAATTTACTTCCACCACTACTAATTCAGGTTGGTTAGAAATTATTAATGAGTTTCTTTTAACCAACCCAGAGTAGAACTTTTAACAGAAAAACCTAAGAGGGACTGATCTGGTGGGTTTTGGGGGACTTGTACCATAGTACCACGATTTGGGGGACTTCTTTCAAAATACTTACGATTTTTGGACCAATATCAAAAAAACCCAACCATATTTCTTAAGAAAATCACCAACGCCCTCAAGCTTTTCCCCATCATTCACAACTAAATGATATCTTCACAAACATTCACTCAACCGAGATCCCTCTTATCTGAAGAGCATCCAACTGCTTAGGCCTTTTGTAGTACTTCAGCAAGAGAGAGCACAACACCACACTGACAGATGAGGCAGCCATTGCAGCTCCAGCCATCCATGGAGGCAGTCTGAGCCTTGTAACAGGAAAGAAAACCCCCGCAGCGATTGGGATGCCGATGATATTGTAACCAAGTGCCCATAAATAGTTCAACCGAATCCGAGAGAATGTTTTCCTAGAAAGATCTACTGCGGTGATTACATCCTCTAAGTTGCTCTTCATGAGAACAATATCAGCTGCTTCGATTGCAATATCGGTACCTGCACCAATTGCCATACCGACGTCAGCTGACACGAGGGCTGGGGAGTCATTGATGCCATCGCCTACCATTGCCACAGTTAAACCAGACATCTGGAGATAAATAATGAACATAAAATTTAGAGACGGTGATTCATGATCGATATGTTTTCAGCAGTTGAAAACTTAAGTGAAGAATTGATAAAGTTGTGTGTTATGTTGTACTTGACGCACAAGAAGACCAAAAGTATGTGAGGTATTTTGTTGGGTAAGTTCAACAAAACTTCCTTGCAGTTGCAGGATTGACAGGAAATGCTCCTGGGATTTCAAAAGTGACAGTTTGCACCTTTTGTTTCAATTTCTATGAAATTGAATTAGACAAATCTATGATCATAAGATATGTCAATTACGTGTACTCCCATATAAACACATTACTATCTTGAAAACTGATATTGCATCGAAAAGATCGATGATTATTTGACTAAAAACTGAAAACTAGGGGGTAAAGCATAACTAAAAAATTAGCGGAGGTTTATGACATTTCTAGCATAGGGGAATATTTTGTAATTTACCAACTTCCGAAAAAAAAATAAAACAGTTATTTATACATTATCATGATCGGTTGTGTAAGTATATGATTATATGCATGCATGCACATTTAATGGATTTTGTGTGTTCACCACCTCCTCTAGTTACATACATCCAAAATTTGGTTTTCTTCAGCTTTATCCTGCTCATGATTATAGTTGAATGTATTCCTTCTGAAGATGAATTTGCTATTACTGTAGTTTATGTCATTTTGTATATTCATTTTTATAGAGTATGGCCTCTTAGTGCCAAGGAGAAGCTCCATGCTTCAAATCAGCAATAGGACCAAGTTTTCACTACCTTACTAGATATACAGTATGTACCAAGAAAACATGCACAGACACAAGCCAAGTATATGATATGACAAGAACACAATGTCATTGTAAGTCCTTAAAAATAAGAAGGACGCACTGACACAAAACAGAAACCTATGGTGATTAGCAGCAAGTAAACATCATTTAAAAGAGCAGAAAAGTTGAAAGAAAACTTTTATCATTAACATGTGTTAACCAAAAATCATGAAAATGAACTTAAAGTACCTGTAATTCTTTAACTTTCTCTGCTTTCTGATCAGGCTTCGCTTCAGCAACAATACTCTCTATACCGACCTCCTTGGCGATAGCTCTGGCTGTACCCCAGTTATCCCCTGTAACCATAATGCTCTTCACATTCATTGACCTAAGAATTGATATCACTTCTTTAGCACCGGGCTTGAGTGGATCAGATATAGCTATAATTCCCACAAGTTCATGATTTATAGCGACAATTATGCCAGTTTGAGCCATTTCCTCGGTTTCCATTAGGATCTCAAGTGCTTCTTCTGGAATATTAATCTCTGATTCCACCATCAATCCCTTGTTCCCAATGATTAGTTCTTTGTTTCCTACAGTGGCTTTGACACCGTGACCAGTAATAGATAAGAAATCTCGTGCTTCAAGCCAGACGTGACTATCTTCTTCTTCCCTGAACTTCTTTGCATACTCCACAACGGCTTTGGCCAATGGATGTTCACTGTTGACCTATTTAGAATCATGAACATTAGGAGAAATAAAAAACAAGGAAAACCCAAAAAAGAAAAGGCAAATCCTCAGTGTTAATCACATGAAACCTAAATGATACGAAAGGATAATAAACAACACCAAATGGATTGATTAAGATGTCATTTCTGCAAATTATAAATCTGGTTTCATTACATTTGAGCTGATTTTAATGATGAGATATAATGCAAATATCTACTAACAGTAAATGAAGCTATGAGTAAAATCATTTGGACCTTGCTGAACATTCCAAAGAGGCAACACATGACCAAA